AGCTAAATAGAAATATTAACCTAATTGTTTTCCAATTATCATAATAAAACACAAAAATTATGACAATATTCCATAGGCTACGACCTATGTAGTGATTCCCTAGAAATTTTAGGGAGATTTTATTTTATGTAGTACATATTTTATAAAATTATTTTTGTATTTAAATTGTAATCTTTCAAACTTTAAAAACAAATTTTGAGTTTAGACTCTTGTTATTTTTAATACTATATTTTAATTTATTTTTTAATTAAATTTTATTTGGCCCACGGGTCGGCCCTATCCATATTTCTCAAGCCCCACAAATCGGCAGACTTATTCAGGCCGGGCTAAGAATCCCTTTTCTTAAATGAGATCTAAAAATCGTAGTCCGACCCTATCAAATCACTGGTTAGGCCAGGCCGGTCCAACGGACCTAGCCCATATTGACAACTCTATATACACACCCTCTTCATTCAATTTTAATAAGGGCAAATTACAGAAATCACATACTTTTAAGGCAAAATTACAATCTATCCCTTAAAAGTTTATAATTAACAGAAATCCCTCAAACTGATACAATAATATAAGCGCTGATACATTAATCTGATGCACGAGATACATTAATCATTAAGTAAGATACATTAAATTTTATACATGATACACTAATCTGATGTACATTTTATACAAGATACACTAATCTGATGCGCGAGATACACTAATTTGATGCGCGAAAATGAGGGATTTTTGGAGATTTGTAAAACTTATAGGGGATAATGATAATTAGTAAACTAAAAGGTGAGATTTCTCTAATTTTTCCTTTTAATAATTGATATAAGTATTTACCACAATACTTATATTAAGTTATATTTATATTTATCTCGTAATATGATTTGGAGAATAAATAATTTAAATTGAGAGTAAAATATGATTCTTTTTTCTTTCGCTACATTAAAAATGGAGTTTTTGGCCGAAAACATCCTTAAACTAAATCTCCAACTTAAACTACATCCTTAAATTATTTTTCTTAATAGAAAACATCCCTCAATTATTTAAAATTGGGAAAAAGGACAAATATACCCCCGAACTATCGTAAATGGTATCTAGATACCCTTCGTTATACTTTTAGGACACTGATGACCCTACCATCCAAATTTTGGATTATATATACCCTTGAACTAACAGAGAGACACGTGTCAAAATCTTAACGGCCTATCCAAAATTTATTTATTTTTTATCCCTAATTAAAAAACTCACCCATAAACCCACCCGGATATCTATAACCCAAACCCACCCCCATTCAAAAATAAAAAATCCTAAATAAACTCCAATTTCTTCATTGTTCCACCAACCATCAACAACCAATTAACACCCCATTGAACCCACGCCGGAACTCCACCACACCGCCGTGACTCAACTTCGCCGATGAAGTTCCACAACAAAATCACCTCTAATTGCTACTAAAATCAACCTCCCTCGCTTAGGGTGAAATCAACGATGAAGTGACCTTTCAACCACCATGAAACTTGACCATCATGAACCTGTCTCTCCTTCATCGTTGCGCCAATAGTACCGGCGAATAGAATCAGAAATCTTCGAATAGATTTACAATCGCAAAAATTATAAACTTTTTTTGCCTTATTGAAATTATAAACATCTGGGTATTGTTAATTTTGGTAGTTGGTGATGATTTCTCAATTAAAACCTCTCACTAATACCTTACGAGTTCAAAATAAACCGATAAATCTCTTTGTTCTTTCTCTCATCTTTCCCCCTATCCTTCTCGAAATCAAACATACTGTTATTGACTCACTTTTGTGCTACCTTCATCAGGTTTATTGATCACACAAGAGATGAACATGTATACTGAAAAGGTTTTGGGTTATAATATGTGTGTGGGTCTTTTTGGTTTTTGGGGATTTGCTGGTGAAGATGAAGTTGCAGTGGTGTGGTGTGGTGGAGTTTCGGTGTCGATCTATTTCACGGGGTGTTTGGATGGTGGAACAATGAAGAAAGGGAAAATGGGTTTTTTTAGGTGTGGGTCTGTTTTTTTTTTTTTTGGTTATACATATTCGGGTGTGTTTATGGGTGGGCTTTTTAATCAGGGATAATAAATAAATAAATAAATTTTGGATAGACCGTTAAGATTGTGACACGTGTTTCTCCGTTAGTTCAAAGAGTATATACAAACCAAAATTTGAATGGTAGGGGCATCAGTGTCCTAGAAGTATAACAAAGGGTATTTAGATGCCATTTACGATAGTTTCGAGGGTATATTTGTCCTTTTTCCCTTTAAAATTTGTCAAAAACTAACAAATTCTTCACAAAAACATGATCGATTCACACTACTCTCAACAGAATTCCCTAAATCAAACCAATTATGTTCATTTTACATACGTCTAAAACATCATTGTGATATTTTTTAGCAACAACGTTTTGCATTGTCTTCCTTTTAATTAGCAATTTTGTTTTTATTTACTTTTCATTTGATTTGATATCAAAGAATTATCAGTTGAAATGTTTTCTTTTTACTGAATCTGTATAAAGTGGTGTCAATCAGAGACTTTTACTTCTAATAATTGAAAACGAAACCCGAGTAATGGAGATCAAAATCGGCTGAAACCTGTTGATCACCTTAGCTATCAATTTCCCCCAATAAATTATTGATTTAATGATATTTTGACTTTGCAAGGTGAAGATGGTGTGAAATTAAACCGCAGCTCTCCATTCAGTTGGTAAAGGAGAAGAGCAGATTATGTCTCCTCATAGTCTCACACTGTCCTAACATTGATTTTTTAACAGCAAACAAGGGTTTCAAAAATATGTTTTCTATTTTTGGAAGATTTTTTCAACCGGTAATAAAATTATAGAAATTTTGCACATGCTTTTGTATGGAATTCGCTAATTTTTTGACAAATTTTAACAAATGAATAGAAGACGTTATGTTTTAAATACGCGGAGGATGTTTTTTGTTAAGAATGATAATTTAAGGATGTGATTTAAGTTAGGGGCATAATTTAAGAATATTTTTAGCCAAAAACTCGGGTCTAGTGCATTAGCCCACCCCCACTCCCAAACCACCTCTTTTTCAATGTAAGGTTGTGAGAAAATAGTCAAATGCCCCCTCAACCTATTATCAAATTCCCAACTACACACTTATGTTTCACGGGAGTCCTATCAGCTCCCTAGACTATTTTAAAACGGAATAATTACACCCTTAGATGCTGACATGGCACAGAGAGTGTCATCACTCTCTTGGAGGCATGTGAAAGTTAGAAGAATTGATAAATAATATTTTTAATTTGAATTTTTGTTAATTATATATATATTACTCTTCTCTTTAAGTTTTTTGTTTCTTTTTCTTTTTCTTTTTTCCCCTCTATTTTCATTACTCAACATGCACCCCACCACCATTTCCTCTTCCTTGAACCACCATCACTACACTAACCACATCTTTTTATCCATCTTCTAATATATTTTTTTACAATTTGTTTCACTATTTTCTACAACTAACACGGCAAATCATCAAATAATTATTAGAATTATTACTCATATTGCCGAAAAAATCAAATCGTCCTTAATCTCATTACTCCAAAAAAAAATAAAAAATCACAAAATAAAGACAAAAAAAAAAAAGCAGAAGAAGAAAGATATTAGAAACAAAACCTAAAAAAAATAGAATTATTAAACACCTTCCATCATAAAATTCATTATTTATTGAATTTTAATTATTGAAGAAATTCAGTGAATTAAACAATTATGACTATAAATTAAATTTTCCGGTCATGAATTTCATAAAGCAAACTAAACATGAGTTTTTGGGTGTATGATCTGGGTCATCCATCTTTTTTCGTTTTTTATCAATCTCAAATTAGTTCAAAATATCAACACCATTTAATCTACCTTTTCACCGATTTTAGGTCAGTAAAATACATCAACCGTCAGATCTTATCTTCAATCTCTATTTTTGTTTGGTGAAGACCCAAGAATTTAACCATCGACAACCCGTAACTAAAATATTACAAATTTGGTGTCATGAAGATAAAGAAACAACATAATAAAAAAATTCAAAAAAAGAAAAGAGATGAGTAATCAAGCTCGTCAAGGTGCCTGAAGGATGATTTAAAGTGATGAAAAAATGATAATAAATATAGCTTCAATTTTTTTCATGGATGACTAATTTGGAAGAAATAAATGAAAAACAAAAGAGAAAAGAAGAAGAAGGAGGAACAAAAGAGTAAAGATATTTTTGTAATTAATGAAAAAGGGGATAAAAAGGAAAAATAAATATAAATAATAAAAATAACAGCTGGCAGCGAGTGGGCATCACTACATGTTGAGTATGTGGTTGTCTAGTTTTAGGGTGGTATATATTTTATTTTTGAAAAATTCAAGAGGGTAATAGGACCCCGCAAAGTATAAGTGTGTAGTTGAGAATTCGATAGTAGGTTAGGGAGACATTTGTCTATTTTCTCTTAGGTTGCAGCAACTTGTAAGAAAGAATGATATTTGTAAGCTATTCATTGTTTTCCATTGACAGAAATTTTGGTGGTGCCAATTACTTCCACAATTTACTTTTTATTTATCATTATTAACTATTCAACTACTCTCAACAAAACTCCCTAAATCAAACCAATTATGTTCATTTTACATACATCTAAAACAATGTATAGTTTACAAATATCATTCTTTCTTACAAGTTGCTACAACCTTACATTGAAAAAGAGGTGGTTTGGGTGGGAGTGGGGGTGGGCTAATGCACTAGAGCCCAACTTTTTTTTTTGAAAAAAGGTAGTGCCACCAAGAGGGGGCCACACCATCTAAATCCTTATTAGTCATTATTATCACTATATCATCTTTGTTGTATTTTTGTGTGTGAAAATCCTGTCACTTTACCCAACACAGAGAGCACTCCTCAGTACTTACTCTTTCACACTCACACAACATACGTACATTTCTGTGTTTTTATCTTCTCTCCCTCTGCACCATTCTTCATCCCCAGCCTCTGTTATCCTCATCTTATCATGTCTGCTTTTGTGTTTGCACTCCTCATTTTGGCCATGGCCGGCCACTCAAGTAAGTTTTTTTTTTCAGCCTATTAAGTTAATTTGTGCTTCTCCTGCTGAAAACTGCATCTGGTGTTATGATCAGGGGCGGATCCATAATATCAAAGTTATGAGTTCACGTGAACCAAATAGCTTTTGCTCAGACCTGTTAAAAAATTCCCTGAATATTTATTTATATTAGACTGTGAACGCGATTAATATTTTATATATTCACTTGAAATTGTGGAGAAAACTCATAAAATTAGAATCCTAGATCCGTCTCTAGACTGTTCTTGTCATATCCACCTTGTTATTCTTTCTACATTTGCAAAATTGTTTCCGTTTTTGAGCTGCAACTTCATTTTTCTTACCTTTTCATTTAAAAAAAATATGACCTTATTTTTTTTCGGAGTTGAATTCTGGAAATCATGTTTGGCCATAGAATTTAATTTGAAGTTGAATTCTGAAATTTGAACAAAACACTCTCCAAATCACTAATAAGAATTTAAAAACAATTTCAGTTTATATTCATGGTCAAACACAATTTCCCTCGCTCGTGCATAAATTAAACTAGAATAAATGAGGTATAATTTCATCGATGCTCACTACACTTACTCTTTGTTCGTATTTCTCTTTGGAATGGTAGATGCCGCATGGTGCGCTTGCAAAGGATTGAGTGATGCAGCTTTGCAAAAAACACTGGACTATGCTTGTGGAGCCGGGGCGGATTGCACCCCGGTCCATACAAACGGACCTTGCTTTAACCCGAATACCGTAAGAGCTCACTGCAATTTTGCTGTCAACAGCTATTTCCAGAGGAAGGGCCAAGCTGCCGGATCATGTGATTTTTCTGGCACCGCCACTGTTACTGCAACTGACCCCAGTAAGCAACAAGCCAATCCTTCTTTACGAAAAAAATAATAATCAGTGAGGTTACATTGTTTCATACACTCTGTAGGACCTACAGTACACAGGAGTAGTACGGAGTAATAGTCTCTCCGTCCCATTTTATGTGACATAAACATGATAATTAAGAAAAAAAAATTAAAACTAGTGATCTAAAATAATTTTTTGATATTTGTGTAGTATCTTTAAAATTATTGTTTCTGTGGTATTTTTTTTTTTTTTGTAATAGACTAAAAAAAAAAAAGATGTCACATAAAATGAATCTGATGGAGTATGATTTTTGGTGATAAATGTTTCTCATCTTCTTTTTGGATCTTACTCTATACAGGCACAGCTGGCTGTGTTTATCCTGCTACTGCAAGGTAAGGCTTTTTTTTAAAAAAAATAAAATAAAATGAACAGTTACCATTTTCATTTTTCAAGTCCTCTGTAACTTTGGCCAGTCCTTCTGTTTTGTCTAATTTTGTTACTGGTTGCCTGTTATTCTTTATACACATTTTCCTCCTTTAAAATGGGGGTAGGGGTAGGGGTTGGAAATGTGAAGTGGTAGAGAGAATTATGAGATAGGTAATCGAACATTCACTAATAAGGTGAAACTTTAAGTAGCCAATCAATTGAACAATTTAAATTTTTTTATATGTCACTTTTATGTATTGTCCACATAAAGGGTAATTATTATCTTAAAAATAAGGCATATGGTATGTAGTGGTGGAACAAGGATTTTTTTACCGATGAAATTCAAAATAGAAAAAAGTTCATATACATGAAAAACTCAAGAAAATTCAATAAATAGTAAATACATTAAAAAAAGAATATTAACTTATCTACATAGTATAATATTTTCTGAAAAGGGTGTTAATGGACTCCCCGTAGACTAAGGTAGTTTTGCCCGCTATATAATGTGCTACAACATGTTAAAATATCCTACGGAAACTCTCTCCATGTAAAACTCTTTTGAATGTTTGAAATTTTACAGATCTTAAAACAGCTACGCTATTAGCTATTAGTAGCACTTATTTAATGCACAGTTAATGCCTTACCACCCCAGTAGAGGGGTTCCAGTTGAAATCGTGCTGCACATGATAAAAATAATTTATATATAAACTATTGAATTTCCTTGACATACGATTTTGTTTTTAGTATAATAGCAAAGGTTCTTCTTTAAAATTACTTTACGTTAAGAGTTCAAAAATTGATATAGGTCATACGTTCAAATCTTATGTGTGACACTAAAGCATATTTTGAATTATCTCGTATGAATTTCTGGTTCCGCTATGGGATAGAATAGAAGCATCTTGATGATGTCTAAATTCCAATTCCTTAATTTTCCTAGATTCTGTTTTCTTTTTCTCCTATTCTCTTTTGTGAGTCTCGATAAAGTGCAACATTATAAAGCATTTTTCATCTTTCAAATTACTATAGTATATATTTTCGAATCGTTTATATATAAGCCATATTATGTCCAATCACCCTCTAATTTGTTTTCTTTTTCACTTTTGATCTAATCTATATTAGCTCTTTTTGTCTTTAATCTTGAAAAGTGTATTGCATTCGCATCATCACTCTTTTGACTGATTGACAAAATTATTGCTTCTACTATTTATTGGAGCTTTCTTTTCTTTTTCACTCTTTTGCTAGCTTTTTCACAATGCTGCAATTATTGAACACCCAAATATTCACATCCTTTTGCATACGTCAGTAAAAAATTCAAATATTATGGAATACTAAGTAGGTATTTGGTCATAGATTCAAAATAGATTTTTACTTTATTTGAAATTTATGAGGCTATGTTTAGTTATATTTTTAACAAAAGAGAGAAAAAAGTCAGATTTTGAAAGTTTATAACTAAACTCTGATTTTGAATAAAATGAATATTTTTCATGATCAAATGTCTACACAATTAATATACTGGATACATTTGGTGTGATGAATGAAAGAAATTAATCCTGGATATATTTTTAGTACCCCTGAGAGGTAAATAACACTTGTAGTACCTGAAAAATTCAAGTGGTCAAAAGTTGGTGGGGTGGGGTTATAAATGTCATGATCAGACACTCTGGCCACTAGATAGTGTGTTGTCTTTGTCCTCATTGAAGAGTAACAAATTGATGTTTGCTGGCAAAGTAGTATTTACCAAATGAGTGATTGAAAACTGTAAAGGCCTTCTATTAGATAAGGGCGTTGTTCTTCTTATTTTTTGGCTTAATACATCGATAACCCTTGAACTTGCTAGTAAATTTCATTCAGACACTCGAAATAAGATTTGTTTCAATTGAGCATTTGAACATATAATGAAGTGTTTCCATTAGACAGTTTCGATTGAAATTTTGAAAAAATGTCTGACGTGTACAAAGTTTGGACTAATGTTACTTGGTTCGACCGAGACCTTATCTCGATGGCTAGCTCTGCCCTTTCTTGTGTTGCATAATGTTATAGTGATTGATTGAACTAAAGAGGTACAATTTGCTGGCTTACTCTGATTTAAAATCTAGACTAAACATTCCATTTAGTGTATCTTTTTCTTCTATTTACCTCTTGACAAGTTACTTCTTTATTTAGTGGCACCATTCCTACGGGCTCCACCACACAAACACCATCCACCACTACAACCAACACGGGCGGATCTCCTTACGTGACAAATCCGGGTGTATTAGGAGGCGTCAACAATGGTTTAGGCCCATCGGGTGCTGGCATGAACACAGATATAAGCCATGGTGGGATTTCACTGCAACAGGGCAACCTGCTTTACTTTATGACCATTACTATTATTATTTCTTCACTTGCATTATTTTGAGCTAAATAAGAGAAGAAGTTCCACTGTTTGTGTACTATAAGGTTAGTTGTTGGGACTTAAGTTAAAATTGTATGAGCAGAAATGGGCATATGCCTATATATGCATATGATGCTATAACTTAATTGTTGGAATTTGTTTTTCCTTCCCATCTGTTTTGATGTCTAAAGATAGTTTTTTGAGTCCAATCCTTGTATTAAATGATTTTTTTTTAATTTACTGAACTCACTTTGTGTAAATTTTAGTTCCCATTGAGGGGTTCAAGTCGTCGTTTTTACACCTTTAAATCCTTGTGGATTTTTCAGTTAAAAAATTATGTGTTTTATTTTTCATGCTCTTACAACACTAAGTTTGGCAGAAGGTAATTGGTGAAAACACCCACTAAATCATTTTCATTAGGCTTAAGTCATATGCGACCCCTTAAAGTTGTCCGCATATTTCAGTTAGACACCTTAACTTAGACTTGTACCTATTGAGCACTTTAATCTTAACAAATTTATACTTATTTAACACAAAATGAAAATCAGTTGAAAGATAAAAGTGCGTGTGTCTCAAACACAAATACATAGCTGATGGACCAATAAAATAATGACACGTGGTAATTGAATGCAATTTTTTTTAATCTCTATCTAAATCATTCAAAAAAAGATAAATTTAAAATAGAAGATTATTTTGAATCAACCCACCCCATCCCCAACCCCCTTCTTATCCTTCTTTTGACCCTTCCACCGGCGGCAACAGGCCGCCAACCAAACTCTCACCTTTTTATTCTTTACCATTGAACCTTACTGTCCATAATCCATTGCCTTTATTTTCTTCCCACTAATAATCAGTTGTTATCATAATATATAAAAAATAATAACAACTTTTGCCGGAAAAAATAATCAATTCGTATTATTTTTATCGGAAAAAATGGAGTTTTGTTAGAATATTTGAGATTTAGATCTTTATAATAATGTATATACGATTTTGTTGCTTTATTGTGGGTTTCGTTGAGCTAAAAAATAGAAAATTATAATGCATACTCAGCATTAACAAATGCCCAACATAGGGCAAATTTTCCAAATTTAGTGTTTCTGTTGTCTTTAACTTTAAACTAAAATCATTCTTCAATTGATTTATATTATGATTTTATAAAATAAAAAAAAGAGCAAGAGAAAGAGGAGAACAATGGTTGCAGTCTTGCAGAGGAACATTGTGGGAAGAAGACATGCTTTCATTTATTTCTTTTTTAAAAAAATAAAAAATTTAAGTGTATAAATGAGAAAATAAAGAAGGAAAAATACTACTTTTAGCTGCTTTACGCGCTCAAGGAGTGTGGAGCACACTTTTTTTGCCATGTCAGTGTTTTGTGTCAAATAGAATTGATTTTTGAACAAATAAAGTATTCAATAGGTACAAGCCCTTGTTGAGGTGTCCAAATGAAATATATGGACAACTTTAAGGGGCCGTCGATGACTTAAGCCTTTTCATTATAATGTTTTTTGAATTCACAACTTTAAAGTTGGAGATGGAAAATGCTTACCATTCAAGCAACTCCTCATACCGTGCCTATGAGTGTGTTGTATGTAAATCAACAATACCATACTAAAAAGAAAGCATATATAATGACCACTTTCAGTTAGAAAGATTATCAATGAACAAAAAACATGTTTAAATTATGATGGCATTCGACTATCCGAAGTTAGTTGACTAAAGACGTATATCAAATTTTTTGAAATGTCATGGCACTTGGCTATCCAAGTTAGTTGAATCAAGACGTATATCAACCCAATTTATACTAGGAAGCTAAAACATACAAATCCAACAGTCGCATTATTAATAAAGATAAAGTCGAAAACAATGTGACAACAAAATAATCTCCCAAGAACTGGTAATAGATTGTCATGAGCAAAACTAAAAAGGAACAATACAAATACGTCAAGTACTACCGAGATCAACAGTGGAAATGCAAAAACATAAAGCTAGAAAGGTATGAATAGGTAGCAACAATAACAATTTCTGTTAAATATCTAAATCAAAGCCATTTCTAGAAGTAGTTGTCGAGACCACAATGTCCAGCGTTCACACATTTTCTCCAGCTATCATATCTATCTTCATTTCAATCACTTTGTTGCTGCCCCTTTAGCACATCCACCTGTGTCTTGTCCCACGCAGTAAAATAATCCCACATGAAGTGTATATATATATAAGGATAAAAAGAGAAAAATAAATGTAAAGTCAGAAATTATAAAGTATAAGCAGATTATACAAAATGTAAATAATTAATTGTAATATGTCATCTAGCGTATACAGGCAAATAGACAAGGCAAACTGCAAAAAATAATGTTTTGTGATTTGACTAGGTACATATATATATATATATATATATATATCTTATATAACAATAGTTTGACTTTTAACATACATAGCAATATGGACTACATATGGACTACATACTTTTGCTTCCCAAGTTATAGGAACTATATATGGACTACATACTATAGCTTGCCAAAAGTTATAGAAAGAATATACTGACTATACAATATATCTTATTTATATATGAGCTATACACATATTAAACATTAGAAAACAGTCAAAAAATTGAATATAACTTAATTATACATAAGTATATATTGATTATTCAATCTCAATCAACTTAAAATTACCTCTAAACAGTGTCAAATTTTAAATATAAAATCATCTTAATATTTTAAATCTTTACATATATAATTTGTTCGAAACGATTCATATTTTTTTTTTTACTCAAAAGAGAAGAAGAACAACAAGCAGAAAGAAGACGAAAACACACCAAATTTTGTAAAATAGAAGTACCATTAATAATAGTTTGTAATATAAATGACTTACATTTGCAAGTTACTATTTTTTGGGTAAAATAATTAACCTAACGAACATTCGGTTTAATTCGGCCTCCTTTATTTATTTTTTTATAAAAACCTTTTCGGACCTTTTTTTTAGTGGGCGTGCCGCCGTGTCGCCGTGGAGTTCTCATCCTCCGATGCAAAAGGAATTACGTATGCACAGCATTCATCAGGCTCACATGGTATAATTATTTGTTTATTTTTTCCCGTAGCTAATGTTTATGTGATTCTGTTTTTTTTTTTTTTTTTTTTAATTCATGGCAAAGACTGAATTCTTTTTAGGATGATGATTAGCGTGGGGATTAAGCGTTTTTTTTAGTAATTTTTCTGAAAGATGTGTTTCATTTAACGGATGAAATTTCGGATTTCTGATTCTCGGATGTTTTTGAAATGGGAAATGAGTAAATGGAAAATAAAAAAGATTTCCTGGGTATATCGTTTGTATAGTGGTGGACTGGTGGCTGAAAATGTCTGAAAGAATTGTTAATTTTTTTGGTGGGGGATGAGGGGGGGGGGGGGGGGGGGGGGGGGGGGGGGGGGGGGGGGGGGGGGGGGGGGGGGGGGGGGGGGGGGGGGGGGGGGGGGGGGGGGGGGGGGGGGGGGGGTTATGACTTGAAAAGTCAATTTGATAGAGTGTATATGTGTATATAATCTAGATATATCCGGCCTGATGAAATCCTTGGCGTAATTGGTAAAGTTATTGTCACGTGACATAGAGGTCACGGGTTCGAGTGGTGGAAACAACTTCTTATAGTCCATAGGACTCCACACATAGAGAAACGTACTGCACTCGCCTGTGCTTTGTCGAAGGAATTTCACTATCTTATAAAACAGTGGGCAATTCATTAAGTGGAAACTTAAAATATAAAAATCGATAACGTCATAAAAAAACCCATGGAAGGCTACATTAGAAATTTTACTAAATCAAACATGACATGAGTATGGTGTTTGTACAACTTCTAAGTCACACATGAGTCTAGGCCTTGACTATACCCAAAAATATACAAAATGTCACTTCATAAGCAAATGTGCCTCGATGATAAATAGGGTTCACCACAAACCAACAGAATGAGTGGAGTGCCTAGTAAGGATCAGTGCCATCCTAAGAATCTATACGTGCATCACAAAAAGATGCAGTTCTTGGACAAAAGAGAAGTGACTAAGTGAGTACATGTGAAATAGTACTTACATGATGAGGTGAACTATTTGGTACCTTTGACCAGCTCGCTAAATGATTTGCTATGGTTAGCAGTCTTTGATGGATAAAATATTCATCTTTCAAAAGTTGTTACATTATCAGATGTAAGAGATGACATGTTGCACATACTGTGAGTAGGCAGTATTAACTTCTAAAGTTCTCAACTCTCAAGTAAATTTCTCTAGTATGTTTTCCTTTTATAAGAAGCTTGAATTCAGTACAAGTGCTATAATAATATCTTCTACATCATTTAGGGAAGGATTAAGAGTAAACCTTGATTTTCTCAAAATATTGTTCTTTTCCTTCATCAATAATATGGTACTAAAGGTCCGGATTTGATTGTCAAACAATGTATCAACTATAGTGATGTATGATGTAAATCATTGTCCCATAACTATTAGCAACTTCAATTTTATCTCCATTAGGCAATAGTAATCAATACACTGCTGTTTGTTTGGTGCTTTTTCCTAATTATTTTTAGTGTAGTTCAATTGTCCCAAGTCCCACAATTGGTTGTCTTTGTTGTTCTGAAAACCTCCATTTCCTGTCCAAAAGAAGATGTACGGGAGAATGTTAATAAATGAGAGCCCCGCCGTTAGTTATCTACCGACGTTGGGTTTTTTTGAAGACAAATCCGTTGTGCACAATGGTTACCTACATAGAATAAGTATACAGATAAACAGTATTCTAACAAAAGAGAAGCAGATCGAATATCTTATTATGTATTTACAATGGCAGGAAAAAAATTAGCACTTTACCACTGGCTTTTACTATCCTTTACCTCCTTAAAGTGTTTCTTATGGAGGAGTACTGGAGGTATTTCCGTCTAGATGAGATATAACCAAAGAACATTCTAGGAAATAATTTGTTTGGATAATACTTGGAATGCAATCAATGCATTTGATATGCGTCTGCTGCAAAAGGGAGATTTATTACATATATAAGCATGTGAGCTTAATAAAGATGGAAACAACATGATTTTGCTGGTTATGATTTACCTTTGTGTAATTAATGACATTTTGTAACTGATCTTTACACCGTTATTAGTGCAAAAATGTTGACGTGCACCAGTATGTTCTGTTTCTCTCTCTCTAATTTTAACATGAAAGTGCAGTCAGGCGAGCTGAAAGCCAGGACTCTCTAAACCATACTTGCTTCATCACATTGTGTCATATCTATATGTTCTTTTAAACCTAAAACATTGTCCCAATCCCAAATCCCTTCTTTTTTAGTTGACTTGCCATTTCTAAGGGATAAGTTGATCTTTTAACACAAGGGGTTGCTCGTCTTTAAGGAAATTGCTAGTTAGATTATCAGCTATGCTTCCCTTTTTTGGAATGTTAAGTAGGGATGAAAAGTGGAACATAACTTTAAAAGCCTAAATGGAAGTGATATTAACTCTTAGGGAGAATAAAGACCTCTTCGAGTTGTCTAATCTAGCTATCATTCTTGCCTACCGGATCCTAATGGTATTGGATACTGGGTTCCACCTAAATGATACATTATTTCTTTCATTAGCATGTTCTGGCATTTAATTCTCTTTAATACTACGTGTATACATAGTCCTAAATTCTGCTTTTCTCTTCCTTTCAGATATTGCATGCCGCGCTATTGTGAGGATGCACTAGTGGATTGGTGGTTGTGAAAATTGTGATATTGGCAAGGGGGTAATGTATTCATCTAGAAAATAGTCTCCTGAGGGATCCAACTTACGTGCCTTTGCAAAGATTTAGTGTGCAACCAAAGAAACATAGTAAGTTTATCTACTTTTGCTTGACCCAAAATAGCCAAGTGTTTTTTCGCCTCCTAGGTGTCTTCTACCCCATTTTCTTCAAACCTGTTTTTTTTGCCCTACTTTTGAAGTTCATAGAATATGAAGCTTCAGTAGATGTGTCTGATGTGTAGTTAAACAGTTACGCAGTTTCTTTTATATCCACATGATTGTGTTTATGTATCTAATTACTCAATTCTCTTGGGCAGCTGCGGACATTTTTCTGTGGAGGGACAAGAAAATTACTGCCAGTGTGCTTGGGTTTGCCACTTCACTTTGGGTGCTTTTTGAGTTACTTCAGTACCATTTGCTTACACTTGTTTGCAATATACTGATCCTTGCATTGGCAGTCCTTTTCCTTTGGTCCAATGCATCCACCTTCATCAACAAGTAAGTATACTCTTTATCTTCCTTAGTAATTTGTCTATTCAGATATACCTTAGGATTGACCTTGAAATATATGCACCAGGTCTCCACCCCAAATCCAGATGTCATTCTGCCTGAGGACATTGTCCTGGGTGTTGCTGCTGCACTCAGGACTGAAATAAACAAAGCTCTTGAGAGTTTTCTGGATATTGCCTCTGGGAAGGAGTTGACGAAATTCCTTGCTGTATGTTATCATGTCCTTGTAGTATAATTCTCTCCATTATCTTGAGAGAATCAGGTTGATCACTACTTCCTGTGTAGTTCTTCATTCATTTGAGTGTCACCTCTTCTACATTTTAATACAAAAATTGGCATTGTATTAACTGGGAAAAGGAGGTACAGACCAAGAAAACGAGATATTGACATGTTGAGGTAGCACTTGCTCTGTCATCATGCATCACTGATAAATATTGTCTCCTCAAGAGTTTTGTCAACCAAATCCTTGGCAACCGTGTCTCGGGGGAATTTTAGCAAGCCTAACTCAAATTTCAAATAATTTTCCTGAGGAGAGTACAGTGCAGAACTCCTAGGATCAGCAGGCTATACGAAACCTCGCAAATTTCAAAATTCCAGAGCAACTGAACCGAGCAAAAAACAAATACAATCATCTAAAGGTTAAGTGTTCACCAACATCTCTTGTATTCATTACTTTTGTAGATTTATCCTCTTCTTATATCTTTATTCATCAAAATTTTCATTTTCTATCATATACTCTTATTAATTTTTTTTAAAATAATGTCGTTGTTATTATCTTCCAAAATGATGTCTGTTACGCCATCAATATCTGTAAAGCTTTCTTAGCTAAATTTATTTATTTTTGTACTTCCATCCAATTAATGTAGCCTATTTTTTAGGTCCGAGTTGTTCTACAATTCTGGACCATAGGAGTCCCGATGCTGTGAATGAGATAAAATAATGAATGCACATTAATTACTAACATAGGTTAACATAGGGTAAACTGAGCTCCAAAAAAGTTCAAATTCAACCCATCTCTGTTTTCTAATGCTAGCTTTTTGAATGGCCCATCTTTGTTAGTTGTTAGCTGGCTCATTAATCTTTTCTTTGTAATTTCCCTATTGATAAGTAAAGAAACAGATATGATACTTTTTAGTTAATAACATAATATTGGTTCTCGAGGGGATGACCTAGTTGCTAAGGGATAGGAGTAACAACTTGGAGATTCCAGGTTTGAATCCCAGCTGCAACACTTGGTGCGCCCATCTGTCTAGCCTTGGTGGGCAGTACTACGTTGTCAATATGTGCCATGGACTCCAATACTAGCTCTGTTTCCATGCTTGTAGTATGCTGTTGAAATTTCTCCCAGGTTACCTCGTGACTTATTTGATGCCAGGAAGTTAGACTTTTGCATATGAGTTTAATAATTCCCCTTGTGGGATGGACAGGTGTACCAGTTAATTAGTTGGGGTGCATGCAAGCTCTAGGGACACCATTAGTATCACTAAAAAAATGAATTGGGTACTGTAGAATATATGCCCAACTATGGGACAAAGGTTCATACGTAGTTGTGAGTTGTGACATAGTGAGACGGTAGTTAACTTGATCCCCATTATGGATAAATTCCTTGAGGACTTGAAGTTACTGTCACTCTATATCATTGTATTATGGACCATCTTCTGTTTTCAGGTATGGGAAACAAGAAATTATGGGTAAGTAGGTTATATGGGAGCCATACATTTTTCTAAAAATTTCAGCTCTGCGACTTAATGAGATGTAGAGTGCAAAACAATTTTTAGCTTCATGTGGAACTTTCTCTATATGTTTTTTTTGCTAAGAAATTGCTTCATGGATCTTTCTTGTGTCTTTGAAACTTGAATATGCCTTTCGTTGTGCGTCAAAAGCAGAAGTTTCCCTTTGATTATTCTACAAACTACATATATATTGAAGATGTATTTTTTACTTGAAGAATTTGCACCACTCAACAGGATTACAAGTTCTTTTCTTTACAATTATTAGTCTTTCTCTTCTTCTTTTCATTTTAGGGGAAGTTTTGACATCCTAGGTGTTCTGGAACTTACACCTGGGATATTCAATAATTGTATCCGGGTTCATCCTCCTTCCAGAGTTAGATGTAAGGTATAGGAGTTTTGAGGGCTATTTCCTAATACTCTTGAATATGAACTAGTTCCGCGTAAGGTTATTTGGGCAAAGTCTATTCAACAATCATTGTTTGGATAAAGAAGACATATGACTGTATTTCCTTGCAAGTGAGAGAGAAAGATCAACTTTTGCCTTATATATCTATTCGAAAATGGATAAGGGTTGCAAAGTATAACTGCACCCTTGCCCAGTAATGTTTTTAGTAGAAATTGATTTGCATTTCCCATTTTATGTAGGTCTGAGATATATATTGCTCTAGTGGAGTTTATGTGTATCAAAGATTTGGTGATGAGAATGCTTATAAATGATGTTGAACTGCTTATGCTTCCATCCAATTTCTGTATGCAAGTATAAGCAGCTCAACATCATTTATAAGCGTTCTCATCACCAAATTTTTGCTACGCATGAACTTCACCAGAGCAATATATATCTCAGACCTATATATAATGGAAAATGCAAATCAATTTCTAGTACAAACATTTTCGGGCAAGGGCGCACTTCTACTTTGCAACCCTTACTCCTTTACAGATGGATATTTAAGGTAGAAGCTAACATTTCTCTCCCACTTGCAAAGAAATACAGTCCTATATCTTCTTTACCCGAACAATGGTTGTTGAATAGACTAGCCCAGATATCCCCACGCGGAACTAGTTCAAATTTAAGAGTATGAGGCAATACCCCTAAGAACTCATACACCTTACGTCTAACTCTGGAAGGAGGATGAGCGTGGATACAATTATTGAGCATCCTAAGTGCAAATTCCAGAGTACCTGAGATGTCAAAACTTCCCCTAAAATACAAGGAGAGACTATTATTAATTATAGAGAAGAGAACTTGTATTCTTGTTTAATGCTGCCAGTCCCTCAAATTAAAGTAAGATCATCAATATATATGTAGTTTGTAGAATAATCAAAGGTGTTAACTCCTATACCTTTACCACTAGGCCATCTCCTCGGGGAACAGCATTATGTTGTTAACCAAAAAATTAATATAAATTTATTCATACTTATCAATAGGGAGATTACAAAGAAGAGGAGGTTAATCAGTTAGCGGACTACTAGCAAAGATGAGCTGAATTTGAATTATTAATAAATGTACATGATGAAGTGTATAACTTACTTCCAGGAATGAGCTAGAGTAGGATCACAAAGGTGTCATAAGTGAGTTCATCATTCCACTCGCTTTCATGGCATTGAGAATCCTATGCTCCAGAATGGTAGAACTACCAGGACCTAACAAGCAGGCTACATCAATTGGATGGAAGTACAGTAGTAAATAAAATTTGCTAGAAAAGATTTGCAAGTGTTGATGGTCTAAGGAGATCATTATTTTGAAAGACAATATATATATCAATGACATTATAAAATTATATGATAGAAAATCAATTTTTTGATGAATGAACATATAAGAAAAGTATATATTTGAACAAGTAATGAATACAAGAAATGTTGGTGAAAATTAACCTTTAGAAGATTATACTTGTTTTATGCTCAGTTTAGTTTTCTGAAATTTGGGAAATTGCGAGGTTTCATATATCCTGCCGATCCTAAAGAACGCTGCACTGTTCTCTTCTTAGGAAAGGCATCTGAAATCTAAGTTCTAGGTTTGCTTAAATTCCCTCGAGTCTCAATCGTCGTGGATTTGGTTGACAGAACTCTTGAAGACACAGTTTTCTTCCGTGGACACCCATATTTCTTGATGTCCGATGATAGACTGAGTGCTTCTTCAACAGGTAGATATCTTGTTTTCCCTGTGTGTACCTCCTTTTCCCAGTTAATACTATGCCCACTTGGAAACTTAATACGATATTTTGGTGGCAGAGTAGTCTGACAAATCTTTGCTGAGGCATGTAACTTGGATCCCTCAGAGTATGAAGAAATAACCCTCTTGCCAGTTTCACATATTTCACAACACCAATCCACTGGTGCAGCTACAGAATAGCCAGCACGCAATACCTGTAAAAAGAGAAAAAACTGTTTTTTTTTTTTAAAATAAGGACTACCGACTACGTGTGCATATAAAATACAGACAGTATCAAGTTGATCGAGTGTTACTATGGTAGGAATAGGGTGCTATATAAGAAGTACCAAGGCAGATTTCAGAGAATCTTAAATGCTACCAAATATGTTGAGAAAGCTGGGTTTAGCATGGCTGAGTTAAATGAGATGGAGCATTTCTCAATCAAGTAAATTTATGTGAAGCTCCGTCAGAAGGTTGAATGGAGAAGATTTGTGTGTAACAACTTGGGATCACCTAGATGTATCTTTATCTCGAGACTGGCTGCACTATATAAACTACACACTAGGGACAAATTATGTTATCGTTTATATATAAGCCAAATTATGTCCAATCACCCTCTAATTTGTTTTCTTTTTTCACTTTTGATCTAATCTAAATTAGCTCTTTTTGTCTTTAATCTTGAAAACTGTATTGCATTAGCATCATCACTCTTTTGACTGATTGACAAAATTATTACTTCTACTGTTTATGTGGTTTTCTTTTTCACTATTTTGCTAGCTTTTTAACAATGCTGCAATTATTGAACATCCAAATATTCACATCTTTTTGCACACGCCAGTAAAAAAAAATTCAAATATTTTAGAACACTAAGTAGGTGTTTGGTCATAGATTCGAAATATATTTTTACTTTATTTGAAATTTATGAAGTTATGTTTAGTTATATTTTTAACAAAAGAGAGAAAAAAGTCAGATTTTGAAAGTTTATAACTAAATACTGATTTTAAATGAAATGAATATTTTTCATGATCAAACGACTCCAAAGTTAATAAATTGGATACGTTTGGTGTGATAGATTAAAGAAACTAATCCCGGGATATCAAAAGTTGGTGGGGGCGGGGATATATTTTTAATACCCCTTGAGAGGTAACTAAAAATTGATGTTTAGTTACAAATTGATGTTTGCTGGCAAAGTAGTATTTACCGAATGAGTGATTGAAAATTGTAAAGGCCTTCTAATAAGGGTTGGTGATTAGATAAGGGTGTCGTTCTTCATATTTTTGGCTTAATACATCGATAACCCTTGAACTTGCTGGCAAATTTCATTCAGACACTTGAAACAAGACTTGTTTCAATTGAATATCTGAACACATAATGAAATGTTTCTATGACAGTTTCGATTGAAATTTTGAAAAAATGTTTGACGTGTACTTAAGACAAACATAAAGTTTGGACTAAAGGTACTTAGTTCAACCAAAACCTTTACAGACTTAAATTTTATATGCATAATGTTATAGTGATTGATTGAATTAAAGAGGCAATTTGCTAGCTTACTATGCTTTAAAATCTAGACTACACATTCCATTTAGTGTATCTTTTTCTTCTATTTACCTCTTGACAGGTCACTTCTTTATTTAGTGGCACCACTCCTACGACTATGGGCTAACACCATCCACCACCACAACCAACACAAGCGGATCTCCTTACGTGACAAATCCGGGTGTATTAGGAGGCGTTACACAGATATAAGCCATGATGGGATTTCACTGCAACAAGGCAACCTGTTTTTCTCTATGACCATTACTATTATTATTTCTTCACTTGCATTATTATGAGCTAAATAAGAGAAAAAGTTCCACTGTTTGTATACTATAAGGTTAGTTGTTGGGACTTATGTTAAAATTGTTTGAGCAGAAATTGGCATATGCCTATATATGCATGTGATGCTACTACTATAATTGTTGGAATTTGTTTTTCCTTCCCATATATTTTGATGTCTAAAGATAGTTTTTTGAGTCCAATCCTTGTATTAAATGATTTTTTTTAATTTACTGAACTCACTTTGTGTAAATTTTAGTTCCCATTCAGGGGTTCAGGTCGTCGTTTTTACACCTTTAAATCCTTGTGGATTTTTTAGTTAAAAAATTATGTGTTTTACTTTTCATGCTCTTTGAACACTAAGTTCGGCTACATGTAATTGGTGAAAACACCCACTAAATCATTTTCATCATAATGTTTTTTGATTTCACAACTTCAAAGTTGGAGATGGAGAATGCGTACCATTCAAGCAACTCCTCATCTCGTGCCTATGAGTGTGTTGTGTGTAAATCAACAATACCATACTAAGAAGGAAGCATAAATAATGACCACTTTCAGTTAGATTATCAATGAACAAAAAACATGTTTAAATTATGATGGCATCTGACTATCCCAAGTTAGTTGAATCAAGACGTATATCCAATTTTTTTAATGTGATGGCACTCGGCTATCCAAGTCAGTTGAATCAAGATGTATGTCAACCCAACTTATACTAGGAAGCTAAAACATACAAGTCTAACAGTTGAGTTAGTAATAAAGATAAAGTCGAATAACAATGTGAAAGCAAAATAATTTCCCAAAAACTGGTAATAGATTGTTATAAGCAAAACTAAAAAGGAACAGTTAAATACGTCAAGTACTACAAAGATCAACAATGGAAATGCAAAAACAATAAGCTTGAAAGGTATGAATAGGTAGCAGCAGTAACGGTTTCTGTTGAATATCTAAATCAAAGTCATTGATGAAAGTAGTTGTTGAGACCACAATGTCCAACATTCACACATTTTCTCCAGCTATCATGTCTATCTCCATATCAATCACTTTGTTGCTGCCCCCTTCAGCACATCCATTTGTGTATTGTCTGATGCGGTAAAATAACCCCCACAGAAAGTACTGGTTGTTCCTTGCTGCAAGAACATCACAAGGTGAAAGACAACTCTACAATTATGAGATAATTTATCTTCTACAAAGCATAATCATATATATATTACCTAAAGTTTCAATAAATAAGAAACAATATAGAGATTAACTATAGTCATACTTTGAGAATCATTGTGCAGCGTTATGGATGCAAGTACAAGCAGCTCAACATCATTTATAACCATTCTCATCACAAAATCCCTACTACGCATGTACTCCACCAGAGAAGTATATATCCCAGACCTACATATAAATAGGAAATTCAAATCAGATTCTAATAAAAACATTCTTGGGCAAGGGTGCATTTCTACTTTGCAACCCTTACCCCTTTACATATAGATATTTAAAGCAAAAACTAACCTTTCTTTTTCACTTGTAAAGAAATATAGTCCTACGTCTTCTTTACCTGGACAATGATTATTGAATAGCTTTGTCCAGTTATTTCCGCGCGGAATTAGTTCAAATTTAAGAGTATGAGGCAATTGCCCTGAAAACTCATACACCTTACGTTTAACTTTAGAAGGAGGATGAACCTGAATAAAATTATTGAGGTTGCATTGTACAAATTCTGAAGCACCTGAGATTTCAAAACTTCCCCTGAAATACAAAGAGGAAGAGAAAGACTATTAATTATAAAAAAGAGAACATGTATTCTGGTTGAATGCTCCCACTTCCTCAAATAAAAGAACATCATCAAATATATATATATATATATATATATATATAT